TCGCTCCAGTGGAACCTTCAGTGATCGAAGATGGCATGCTCTGTCGTCAAAGTTGGAATGTTCTGCAGAGAGAGAGGAGGAGAATTTTGTGAGACTAAGTATGTAGTGTGTATGTTATGCAGATTTATTTTGAAGCGATATGCGCTAAACTTCCCATACAAGCATTCTAAAACAAGACCGGTCATACGGTGCTTTATACCGCAGTTTGTCGTTCAACGGCGTTCATTTCCAATTTTTGCGCCAGCTCTGTTCCTTTCCCTAAAAATGAGCTCAGGCAAGCAATGGCTGCCACAAGCATTTCTAAAAAATTGTGCAAACATATATCGTTTCTAGATAAGAATAGTAGAATCGACTAAGCTTGTAAATGACTTTCGTTTCAGTTGAGACACTTGAGGTATGCTAAGCAGCGAGCCGACAAAGTTTTGGTGGTATACCATCAAATATTTCTAAAGTTCACCACAGGAATGTCTCTGGACATCCTTCCTGCGGACGGTTCGTTAGCAATTGGAGTATGCTTATTAGGTGCTATCATTCTAATCCTGCCTGTCATTCAATCCTCCGTTGCTAATAAACCGCTCACTAGGGAGACGTTCCCGGAAACGATCCTGCACTCCGCTGTAGCTACTGACAACAAAAAAAATATCTCTATGCTTGCATGAAAAAGAGCTAACGTGGCAAATTAAGATGATACTAATCAGGTGAGAGATTGGTCAGATTTGAGGATGAAAGAAAAGAGAGTAAAAAAAGGACTGAATTGGTTTGACGAGAAGAGCAGACGTTTCGGATAGTTCTACTGCTGCTTAATAGTGGACAAGAACAATTACTCAAAACGAGAAAGAAATAGAATTACCTGGAAACGAAGTGCTGGCAGTTTCAAACATGCTGATGGACGAATATAAAGTCTGGGCTTTTTCCTGCAGTTGTGCAAGACTTTTCTTCTGGAACTGTGCAGCTGCATTTTGTTGAACAGCAATAATTTCAGCAAGGCGGGTACGAACTTTGTCGTCAATCTGGAAAGAATAGTAGTAATCAAGTCGAGGTTGTTACGGAATCTAGGATTTTTCGGGGTTCTAAAGAGGATATCCGAATGGGGAAAAAGTGTGGGAAAAATCAAAAACGCAATTATTTGTTCGAAGACTTTCGAATTTGCATTGTACCTGTGATCCAATCCGCTCGACAATATCTTCAAGAATTTCCTCTGGTGCCATGTTAGTTGCAGTTATCCATTCTTCCAATATCTAAGATAGGATGTGGGAATTAACATACCTCTGAATTCTCTAGACAAAATAGAATATTAATGAAGCAGCGTTACCTGGGGAGGAACTCCCACGACAGTTAGGGTGGAATCATCGCGGACACTAGACTTATTGGTTTTCCCACTACCGCTTTTGCCGCCTTTTTTCTTGCCTCCTCCTTTCTTTGATTCTCCCCAGTCATTATCAGGCTAAAAATTATCACTAATTTAAGTTCTGCTGCTATTTAAAAACTTCTAACCTCAACTTTCTTCTGCTGATGATGAGTGGCACTGCGTTCTAATTCAAGTTTGCTCATCTATAATCTCAACATGAAAAAACTCGAAATCGTCAGTGAACAACTTACCAGTTCGTGAGCCCATTTATCGATTCGCTCGCTTAGTCGCTCTATTGTCTTGTTAATAATGCGATCCGAAAACACATGTGTTCCAGAAGTGTGCAATTGATCCTCGGACGCATCTATCGCCTCCGATATTGCAAGTAAATCTGATTCTTCAAAAGGAATACCAAGTGGCTGGAGCACTAACTGCACGTTACAAACATCTGACAACTGCACAGCTTCTGGAATTTCCACAAATTTCGATATGATAAATCAATTCTAAATAAGAAAGTGAGCCAAGAACAGGATGATGGTTTAAGTTAGCATTAGAATATAATTGTTAGACTCCATTTAAGTATAACAAAATTCAGCCTCCATAGCAATACTGATGATTTACAAGCAGATCTACTCAGTTTGAGTTCGAACGCTTTTCATGTGCTTACAGAGTATATTGACAATCAATATAAATTATCTAAAATATCCGACTGACAGATGTCGCCAGGACAAGGCATTCATTGGTAAAAATGTACGTTGCTCTTACAATGGAATATCACAGTCAATTTTATTCATTAAAAACAAGCCTTAATATCTATCGCGCGCATGATGACTTTTACATCGAGTATCAGAACAAAATATGGAAGGATAGA